ATATGCACCATATAAAATATTTATGTATCAATTAAAAAAACTTTGGCGTAATTGTTATGATTTTTTAATTACTTATATATTTTTAATCCTATTCAAAATTAAATTCCTTTCGTTTTAGTGGCAGATATGGAAGTAATTATTTTAATATCTGTAAATATCGTACGATATCTATACTTACCATTAAAATGTAAATTATCAGATTATTTCATTTTTTTACTTTTATCTGTGTGTTTATGTGTTGACCTCAGATACTTCTTAACAGATTTTGGTGCGGATTTCACTAACGAACTGTTATTGATATTAAGCGACATCAAAACCGCATAATATCATTACGTCTAATTAGTATACGTGTTAGTGTCAGTAGAGCATTGATATTGTGCGTAATCAATATAGCCAATCTATGAGATGGTTTGAGTATCGCTTGATATCCAGGTACTAGATACTAATCTGATACATAGATATTGCAACTGTATTATCTATGCTCTAATATATTTATTACTAGTATTTACATAACCTAATTGTACAACTAAGAACCTAAAATTAAAAAGCTTAAAAAAATATAATATGATGACTAAAATATATTATAGGGGTAAATATATAAAAGGGGTCCCTTTAGGCAACGTTCCGAAGATACTGGCAGCGTTCCCTCTTTGAATAGCTAGACTAATTCTTTGTCCAAGGTAGCTGCCAGCTCTTCGGTCTTCTGTGATGTCGACTAACCTTTTCGTTATTTCTTTGAAAAGTCTACGCTCTATATTTGTAATGATAGTCACATGATCTAATTTCGATTACGATTCTAATTTCGAATCAAAACTCAATGTTTAATGAAATAATCGAACTTCATGATAATGATCATGAGTTCGATTTTTGTTGCCTGGTTGTCATGATAATTCTAAATATAACACAAAAATGTGTTAATACTTACGACTGTATTTTTTAATACAAAATTTGGAAATTGTACAAAAACGTTTTCTGATTTTATTGTAATTTAAATAGCGAACAAAAAGATATAAGGATATACTAATAATAATAATAAACTCTTTATTGTACACATAGAAGAAATATAGATTTTATTTGCTGAGCTTTGGAGTGTCTGTTTATAATATTAAAATAACCGTTTTTTATTACATGCATATGAATATAAATACGATACATACACCAAAATAACATTTTATATAATTTTTGTCTTTCTGTCTGTCTGCCTGTTTGTTTCGGCTAATCTCTGAAATGGCTGGACCGATTTTGACGGGACTTTTTTTGCAGGTAGCTGATGTAATAAGAAATAACTTAGGCTTTTTTATGACTAGAAAAAATAACAGTCGCGGGAACAGCTAGTATCTAATATAATTTATATAGTTGAGGTAGGTAATGAGAATTGGGTATCATAGAAAGAATATATAAATATATGTCTGTCCTCTCATTTCGTCTGTACTCTAGTACTCATTATTCATCTACTTTCATAAGTCACTGATGTTAACTCAACCCAGGTCTAAAAAAAAGTACAATACGTCTCGTTTAAGAGTGCATTTTATAAACTTTATCTACATTCTTATCATAGTCGTATACTATCACATCCCGATAATTAGTATTATAAATTATAAATGTATAGTTTTCTGGTAATTACTGGAAGCTTAACCAAAAATAAATATAAGTACAATAACACATTTTTCAGAGGTATTCCAGATGGTTTATTTTAGAGATTGTAATAGAATGATGCATCCGCCTGAACTAATAGTTTACGCTGGCGGGGCACCAGTGGAGGGTAATATAATGAGCATTAAGTCAGGTCAGTTAACCCATCTTTGCAATTTACCACGGTAGTTTCCTGGAGGAAACCGATGGCAATGAGGTTAGCTCATAGTACTAACAATGCCCTTCCTCCCTTCCAGATGGAGTTGTCAGAGGCATTATCAACTGTTACCGTTTGTTCAAGTAAACCTATTTATTTTTATTTATAACAACAATATAATGGGAAGAATATCGTAATGAAATGAAAGTAGTGATTATGACGTCTATAGCAGAATCCTGCATTTGAGATCTAATTGAAATTGTAAGGCGGTGTGTAAGCACTGGAATTGGTTCTCAAAATTGATATCGGATTTCTAATTTTTACTCTAATATTTGAGAATTAAAAATTAAAGCAGAACACTGTTGTAATAGATTAATAGAAGGTATAGGCTTACTTTATATAAAACCATATAATAATTATATTGATGTCGTCGTGCAGTTTATTAATATTTTTTTATATTATATTTAATATAAAAAAATATTAATAAAGTGCATTAATGTTTGTACCTACCGTACGAGGAATCGAACCCGCGACCATTGCAAATAAGGCGGTTTGCTAAACCTAGAGCTAGATCACGAGACCATCAATGACCACAAGACCACAGACATCATATATACATATACATTTTAATTTTGTTTATTTACTAGCTTGATAGCGGCTACGTACACGTTGTCTGTTATTAAATGCCTGGTATTAACTTTGATCAACCTAAAACTTTTTTTTGTGAATCAATTAAAACAAAACAAATAACACCATTGCACCGCTCGCCATCGACAGTGAATTCATCTTCACACCATTAGAATAAATTAATGATTTTCCTTCCACGCATACTCAGATTGTGGAATGATTTACCAACCGTGGCTTTCTCCAAATACTATAGAATGGAGTCTTTATAGGTAGGTAGGTAGGTAAAGTTTCATACCGTCAACGCGAAGATACCCTTATTATAGGTTACGGTAACAGCTTATGATTCGTATGCTTCTTTGTCCCTATTGTAGGTTACAAATATGTTACACGAAGCAATACACCACTGTAATTCGAATTTAAAGAAGTTAACCTGTTCAAATTGGCCTGCACAAACGTACACAAAAAATTCTAAAAACTGTTTTAGTGACCTCGGTAACATAAGTATAACAGGTAATTTTTTTTTAATTTAAAATACAAACTGGCTTCTTTACAATTTTGTAAAAGGTATGAATGATATTATCATGTAAATGTCGGGAAACGTGTATAGCACATAATTTTAGATGAAGACGAGTTGATTTGAGAATTCGCGTTTACTCGTTTGTGTCGAACAGTCTTCGATGAGGACGTAGATACATATGTATTGAATGTATACAGAGCATATACAGGGGAAGTCTTAAATTAAGGAAATCTTATTAGGAAATTCCGACGTGTGTCGTCGCCTAAAAGCTGGAGCGAGGGTTGCATGCGGGACTAATGAACGTGTTCAAAATTTATAACACCTTTCACCTCCTAGCTATTTTCTAAGAAGTAAATTTTACCTCAAACTTGTTATGTATAGTGACCAACATTGTGCTCATATATTGTTACTTAAATGTACCAATAAAATGTATATTTAATATTAGACTAGCTTAGACTGTTATCCAAGATGGGACGTTTTCAACAGTCGTCGTTAAGGTGCCAAGTAGTACCCCTAAAATGTAGATATATAATCATCAATAGAGCAAGATTCCAGACCTGCCGTTATTTCTTTTCTGATGAAAGTAATATGTATGAACAAATGTCGTAATGTCCCTTAATAATCTAATAGCCATAGTATTTATCACCATAGTATTTATAGATCAAACAAAATGGGCGTGCGCTATTGTATTTGTTCCTCATATAATAATTTATAGTAACCCAGTACAATTTACACAGCATCGTCTAGTCCCAAGTTAGGCAGAGCTTGTGTTGTGGATACTAGTCAAATGATATCAGTACATTTTTTTTATATACCTACATAATATATATAGGAAACACTCAGACCAATACAAATAATCATACTTATGACTACAAATGTTTGTACTGTGCGAGAAATCGAAGCCGAAAATAGGAAGTAAGGCGGTGGCTAAACAGCTAGACCACCGAGGCCTGTCACCACATTTAATACCAGATGATGTTATTCATAAGAATTGTCTCAGGAACGGATTAAAAATTAGGTCTGGACAATTTTTGGATATTAGATTGAACTGGCAGTTTGTAAATAATTTTAAAATTGTTATCTTATACATATAAAAATTATCAGTAAATAAAACTTATTCTTGTTAATCTAGCGGGTATTCATATGATTTTCGTTCGTCAGAAAATAAGTGACGTTTGGCAGGCTAAAGTATATACATATATATTTTTATAATATTAAATGAACCTATACATTTTTTATAATCTGTGCCGAAACAAAATTATATCATCTGCTTTTAATTTTTTTTCTTTTCAATTGTAAGGGTATATCCATAAAAAAACATTAAACAGAGTAATATATTTATGATGTTTCAACAATTATTGTTAGCGTTGCAAACAGATGTATATTGATAAAGTCTTGTATTTGGCAATTATTACAAAAATGAATTTTACAATGAGAGATTCAAATATAAGTAAGTATAACAGGTCTGTCCTCTCTAATCAGATACATGGGTTTACATAAAATAAAAAAAACAATTCTATAATCATTATGTACTTCGTCAGTTTAATAAAAATAAATTTAAAAAATATATAAAGACCAAAACATGCCTCCTGATAAGAAGTACTAAATGGTATTTTTATCAACGTAGTTATTCAATGGTAGGTATTTTTTGCAAGATGTATATCTGTTATGGACTTTGGTATTTTTTATATAGTATTTCTTAGAGGCTATTGATGTAATACTTCTTATGATATATTTTTCTTTTAGGAATTATTTATTATTAACCGTTGTTTCCACTTATTTAAAGTAAATTAGATTAATTAAAAAAGCCATAAAAAATAAATAAAAACTATCATACTAAATTCTGAATTTCACATTCAATCGAACAATTTTCTTTACATACTTCAAATAAAAGTCATTAAAGATAAAGTTAGTATCTATACATTTAGATACCTTTTCACATACTTCAGATTAGATTATTATATAATTAATATTTGAGTCAGGCAGGAGTCACTAATGAGGTCACTATATTAATTACGAATGTATTAAAAAATTATTAACAATTATGCAATTAATATATGTCCTCGATGCTGTATAAACAGCATTTTAATTTTCCTAAACTTATATCTAGATTACGCTAGTTCAACTTAACTTACTACTTTTTGAAAAAACGCATGAAAAACTGTGAGTATTAGAAGCGAGTAAAATCGTGGTTTAATATTAGGAGCAGAATCCGTAACAGTTTGTATCCATCTTGTGTAATTGGAAACTCTAGTGTATAGTTCTGGCCGTGATGAATTCTCGCTCATGCAATCGTTTGGCAAGAATGAGATTCCTGTTAATATGCCGCCGCATACTAATGCGTTTCCTTGATCACCCTGAAATTAAAAAAAATATATATATATTAATATCTAATTAAAAAAAAAAAAAATCCGCAACTTTAGGTGAACTTAATTTCCATATATGTATTTTTATTATATATAACATCGTACATGAATAAGGAAAAATATTTGAAAGTGAACTAACCTTACAACCTTTTGTATTGTTATCACTAACGTTCGTGCAAACCATGGAGGGTAAAATTTTTTCCACTTGGTCAAAATTATTAAACAGTGATATGCAAGAATTTTGATTTAAAATATAATTGTTTATATACTGCAACTGTACTGACGGTATCTGAAAATAAAAATATAAGTCATAAATACCTATGTATGATATTTCGCTTAATTGCTGAATCAGATCTCAGAGTTGTTTATTGATCGTGAATCAATCATCAACAATACAACACCAGATTTCTCAACATTTCAGGTGAGTAAGCTTTTACCAAGATAAACTATACTACAGTGGAAGCCGAATTTTTATATTGGTAAAATATAAAAGTTGTTGAAGTAGTACTTCACAGACTTTCACAGTCATCTAAGTACGTACCTACTATGTATCTCACTTATTACTGCCGCTAAGCAGCTTGCTTAGAATTTGTTTTTATTTAGGAGGTAAGATTTGGCAGGCAAAATTCATATTACAGACGCATGGTAGCACGTTGTAATATTATCTTTCTTACCATTCTAGTTTTGTAACTAAATAATATAAATTACACTTGGCCAGGATGTGTATACATAATAGCGATGATTTATATGATAAGTTTAATTCTTCTTGTTGTGGTATAGCAACAATTTGTATCACTATTAGTGTGTTACTATTTGATTAGGTACTTATAATTTATTGGGCAACGCATTTTCAGCGTGGCAATAATAGTATGGTATAAATTATAGTTTTTGTACTTACAGAGGATAAATTAGTCTGTGCACCCCAACCGGCAATTGTGCATACTGTTGAGTCACGTGGTGTGTAATCGGAAGGTGGCAATGCTAGTGGTTTCACAACTCTTTCCGGAAAAGGACTTACCAACTGAAAAGAAAGAACAATATTACGATTAAGTCTATAAAAATAATTCTAGTGTGCTTTGTAGGAAGCTTAATCTCCTTAATCATTGAGTACTAAAGGTAAATAAATTTTAATTGCCAAAGTTAACTTTATATAGCTAAAATAAATTATCCTAAAGGTAAAAAGTAGCTAAAATGCTCTAGGAAAACGGAGTTCGGTATTATCCATAAATATTCTTGGATACTGTGAGTACTGTGGGTCGAACTTTCGGGTAATTGAACAAAATATGGACATTATTTAGTAGTTTTTAATACTTTGATGTGCTCGTGACAACATGAATGTAATTGAACGTGAGTTGTTCAATAGATTTCACATCTCATGTGCAAATTATAAAGATATTATCTAAACTAACTAAATTCACTTGACGTTGAAGTTTAGATATATTTAACATATAAGATTTCACTTTTAGTTTAATGACACAGTTCAGAACAATAAGTTTTTATTAGATATAGAAAATATATACTTACAGTAATAATGGCAAGATCATTAGCACGAGAAGGTTCAATTAGATGTTCAGGGTGCCTTGTATAATTTTCTATACTTCTTATTCTATCTGATGATGTTTCATTTAGAAAAGCGGAGCCTGCAAATACTATGAAATCGCTTTCATTATAGTGTATCACTTGTCTGTAAAATAATACAGTGAAAATCAAAGATGCAGTTACGTGTGTTAGGCAGAGGCATTGTTAACTATCGATGTCGATGTTGTGGTGAACGCAACACTTGATAAGTCTACATTTTGCTGGGTATGTTTGATTCTATACGTTGAAATCAAATATAGGGGACGAGCTTATTTAGATAGATAGATAGATAGATAGATAGACACGATGCTCAATTTTGTACAATAGTACTGTATATATTTATACTTATATGGTGTTAGTATGACGGCCTAGGTGGTGTAGCGGTTTAGCACACCACCCTACTCTTAATCGCCGCGGGTTCAATTCCTCGCACGATACTATTGTACTCATGAGTGTTGTTTGTATCGGTAAAGGTATTTGCTATGAATATTTGTTATAAATTTACAAATATATATATATATATATATTAGTGGTCTAATACCCATAATACATGCCTTGCCTAGCTTGACGCTAGATAGCACTATGTGAATTGTCCTGATATATTATTGTTATATTTTTGACAGACCGTAAATATACCACATTAAATATTTTTTCTAATAAACTATATATACATTTCGTATTTAGAAATATTGTGCGTTTTTCTAATCTAATGTGTAATCAATCTCAGAGAATTTTAACCCATTTCAATGCAATTTTTACTCAAGTAGGTTTGCGTAATATTTTTCTTTATTTTGGCAACAGATAGTCATTGCGTAAATACAAATAACTTATTTTTTACAATAAATTTCAAATGATTTTATTTTCAACTTAAACATATGGACACCAACAGAACTTTTTAGATTAAAATATTGTGGATTTACACATGCACAATATTGTTTATTATGTTACAATCTGTTTACAGACATAAGTTATGTTTCTATTGTCATTTATAGTAACTAAAATTACAATTTCGCTGTAAAAGCTAGCTAAAAATATTTACTTGTTGTTAGCGTAGTCGATACGATATGTACAACTGGCAGCCGTCAAAACATGCCGTTGTGTAATCAATACGCCACCACACGTATGTCCGTGTCCCGGATTAGAAATGTCACTAACACGCTGAATGGAAACCTGTAATGATAACAAATATAATTATAACCATTTCTACAATTAAATTATACTTTTTTTTTGTCTCTTTCTCGTCTATTTCTGCCGCCGCATGATTATTTCAAATTCGAATTAAACATATCTGTATTCATGTAGGTCTATTACAGACTCTTATGATATGTAATATCTACCGTCAGTTCGGAATGATTTCAAGATGAGAAGAATTAACAAGTAACAAGAACTCAGCTCGTATTCTTTTCAAATAAATGTTGTACATGTTTATAATAATACAGATTCATTTTTAAATTAAAATTTGGTGTTAAATGCCTAACGACGGTGATATACATCACATTATCATGTGACGCCCAGAATACCCGTCTTGCGTTGCCATTCAACCATAGAAGACTACTAAATGATATACCGTCATACCTTGTAGTTTCACTGCAATGTGTAATGCTCCAAACACAAATTACAAAGGTTGAAATGGGTACGACAGGGGTATCTACGTAGATAACTTTGTCCAAAGTCAACCTCTTGTGTACAGACCGATATTGTATATATATATGAAGAGGAAATTCATTTTGACACTTGCATATGTTTGATGTAACCGCAGCAATAAACTAGAGAAATATAACAAATAATTACCATATAAGAAAATTGTTCAATGGTGGCATTTAGTCCATTTAAAATTCTTTCCGTTATTGTGAGTTCTAAAGGTCCTGCGTATGAGCCTGTAAAAAAATTAAGTTGAACCAAGTTGTACCAAAATTTTATTGCTAATATATAATATTTATAACATATTATGATTATCACTGAAGCGTACAAACTTATTTTCTCAGGTAGACAAAGTCATCACCTATCGCTAAGCAGTGTATTTTACAAGTTGTGTATTGATGGGAATGGCCAGACATGGTAGTGACATTACAGAATATAGAGGTGAACAACTTAGATCTCAAGAATGGCAAGTATAGTATATTTATATACACATAAAAAGTTTTGAATACGTCTAAAAGTAGGCATGGTTGTGCTCTAGGTTCTTAATAATACTTTTTAAGATTTATATTACAGTATTTGGGGATCCTGTTCTGACTATTTGACATGACTGACGAGACGGTTATATTGTGAGGAAAAATTTGTTAGTAACTTTCCCGTAATATCAATTACTGGAAGAGCTATAAAAAAAGGGATATAGTGACGAAGACTGCAAAGGTGAAATAGTCGTACGTCGAATATACGGACTTATTCTCTTTCCGGCTGTACATTCGATTTTGTGCAACTTGCTGATCGCGTCACATAGATACATAATTTTAGGCACACTAGGACATTATTTTGTAAATAAGCTTGTAAATCTATTGGCGGGAAAAATATAAAAATAAATAATTAAATAGAGCAATATCTCGTAGTTCTAGGCACGTCGGAATAAAAAAGCCTGTGTTATTCTCTGATAATATATGTAGTTATATATTTCACTTATATATATATCTCTGATAATATATATAGGTGAAATAATATTTAAAATCTATTTTTTTTCATTAAACAAACATATGAGATTGATATGGTTCGACAGGAATATCGGTAAACAGATAATAACTTCGTTTTAATATTATAACACCACCGTAAAACTTACAGAGAATATAAGAGTTCACCAGACTTAGATTTTTTCCGTCAGTTATCGGCTCATCGACTGATACGGCTCATTATTACCGTTTCTTTGTTAAACTATATTGATCAATATTGTATAAATATTCTCACAACAGATTCAATCGCACCGAAATTCTGAGCACAGATGTTTCCACTAGCTTCCTTAGCAAATAGTTTCACACTTAATCGAACTAACAATATAAAATAATAATAATAATTTAAATATGAATATTAAAATATAACGCAATAATATTTTTACTATTACTATATTATGTTATCTGTGCTATTACTAACTTACAAATAAAGGCCAGTGGCAAAAAATATAAAATTTTTCCCATCACGATCACTGTCACAGTTACAACCTCACACCACGGAACATTCGCCTACAACTAACCGTTTATTAGAATATCGATAATTATAATATATATTTTATCTCTATTGATCATTTATCAGTTCCCCCAGAATTCATGTCATAGATAACTGTTGCCCTATATGGTGAAAAGTAACCAAAATTGGTTATTTTTTTTTAGTTTGTTGTACAAAGAAAAAAGATATCATTCAGGACATTATGACACATCATCGTCAAAAATACTATAGTATACGCTATAAACATATTTTCTAGATATAAAAAAAAATTAGTAACATAGATATAAAGATAAGAAAATTCATCACTATATGTAATCATACTTATGATTACAATTTATACAAACATTTGTAATGCTTGTGTAATGCGAGCATCGAATTTGTAACCATCGGAAAGTGGAGAAGCGTATTTATTACCTTCACATAACTGACACCCTAAACAATAGACTTTCTTCATAGATACATCTATCTTATAAATGTATGAGGTTTACCAAATATATCAAATAATCACATAAATTAAAGGATAAAAGAGACATCTTAGTCCTTTGGAATGGTAACATATGAGTGGTATCATGGTGGTCACATTATGTCCGTGCTATACGATGATTATCGCTTACCATCAGGTAGGCCATCAGCTTGTTCCCTATAATTGCTTACTTGTTCATGAGTATAATGCTTCTTTGATATGCTTAAGACTTTGAGTCTATGGAGGCTATATTCAGGAATAAATATAGGATAGTTAAAACGAGGATAAATTATTACAAAAATAGCTGTCTGGTAATATTTATTATTGTCGGGAATATGTTATTTTATAATATTTCCAACAGTTCTTACTCACTTTATTTTCTAATAATGAAAAAATCTGTGATAGTTGTTATCAAACCATACCACAATCTACGTCAAATTTAAATTTCCAATTGTAACCTAAAAATGCTTTTAAATGCTTTACTATATCACAATGTCACCACGTAAACGCAAACACAATAATAAACATGGGTATTTCAGTCGTTTCGGCTGGTTTCAAATACCATTGAAGGGGTAATCTGCGCTAATGAGAATGTTAATGTGCTACCCCATCAGGTTTGGTTTCGTAAACACCTCTATGTGGAAATTACGTAACCCATTCTTAATGGTGTGTCAATAAATTACCTGGATGTATATGTCACTTCAAGCGAATTACAAGAAATTTACTTGGTATATTTTAAGTTGTTTGAGTTATTGCTCTACATTTTATAAATTTCAAAGTCATGTTTTATGTACTTGAAAGTGTCTAATGTAATCGGTTAAATAAATACTCGTATCATTGTGACTGAGACAGATTGTGGCGTAAGTAACTACTCGTAGTTAATCACAAAATCGTCTGTGATCTTAAGATGACAATTGGGATTTCATTGAGACATAACAGATAAATTTTATTTTTATCTAACAATTTTTAGTGATATTTGGCAAGTTTGTATTTTAGGTCTATGATTAAAGTTCAGCTTTTGATGAATCATAAAGATTGATCAAAGGTAATTCACCTTATATATGTAACAAAAGTTTATCTACTGATTAAATATTTCACGAGCATTCATTTTAAACTCAAGTCCAGTTCAATGACCGTCAAAAAATATCAGTAAGTCTCTGAAGTAGGTTTTAACAAAAAACGAAGTATGTGTTTTAGAATATATAACCTTTTTTAACTAGGATTATATATTTATATATTTTCCTCGATTCAATTTTCCTCCTTTAGGTACCTCAAACACAAATGAGTGAACGCAAGTGAACACTTATTTAATTATTTTTATAAAATGTACAAATCCATATAATACAACAAAATATGATTTTATACTGATTATGAAACAGCACCATGGAGTTACTTATAAATAAGATATCTTCATAAATATATAATACCGTCCACCTTGTCTTTATCTTTAATATCATTCTTTTTAGTGATGGCACCCCTTGAAAAGAATATAAACTCTATAAGATCTTTGCTTACCTTTTTTAGCCGCCATAGCTTTTGTACCTTCCTTTGTAAATTGTTCCGGTTGCAAGGATTATAATATGCAAAAACTTTGCCTGGTTACGATATGGTCCTACGAAATATCATCTCTGAGGTGTAAAATAAAAGTCAAGGGTAATTTAATCATACAGAATACTTCCGGCTACTTATTTAAATCATATTCTTTTATCACTGTTCCTACCGTCCTGTTCTGCAAGCTAACTTGATTGGAGAGCACTGGCAAGTTATATTTTGTACCAGTTATTAAAATAGTTTAATGTTTAAATAATTTATATGTCTAAAATACCGTCTCTACGTCAGACAGGGTGTCCTTATAATAAACCTTCACACTGTTTACTCAATATGTATTCCTTAATCTATTCTAATATTATATTGAACGCAGTATATAGAACATTAAATAAATGAAATTGAGAACCTAATCAGGTTTTCAATTGCATTTATTTAATGTTTAGCGATAGCTTCGTCAATTTAAAGATATATCTTAATCATCATGATTCACTCCCATGATCAATAAATACTATCACTATCAATATAGATCTGTTTTTGCTATCTCAATATAAAAGGGATAGGCTTACCGCTATCTCTTGGATTAATGAGATTATTATACAACAGTGATAATTGAAAAACGTTTCATTGCGGCACGGAAATTCCAGCCTGTACATCAAAATTTTCCAAATTCGACTAACTTTCTATATATTTTCAATAATATGAACAGAATACTATTGATCCGCTGATTACGTCTAAGATGATTCAATAATTTGACCCTCGTATTATTACTCCCTTATTAATAAAAACTAAAAGCTGTTATCCGCAGCTGATCTTTACATCTTCACCTTAACTTCGTACTCCTTTTTTAATTGATGACACTCGTCTGTGTAACTGTATACGTTGGAGAGCACAAGTGAGATTTTTTTTATGAGAGATGACAGTTTTTTGTTGACAAAAATTCAATATGTTTTCAATTCACTCTCTGTAAGACTACTACCGTTTAATACAATTAAATCTCGATGATAAAAAGTAACACTTACACACATACTACACTAATAAATCACATCAGCTTCGCCTGAAAGCTCACAAATTGTGAGTTTCTATTTTCACAACATGCGCAGATTTATAGACAATATTATTCTGGAATGCATGTACTTTATAAAAATATTTAAATTCGATGAAGTTATTATTATTGTCTTCTTTATTTTTTTATCCTTTCTAAAAAAACTGGTATTTCTATATTATAATCCTTATTATTATTAATATTATAAATTCATAGGTCTTTTTTAAAAATTTAAATAAAATTTGGTACACAAATAGTATAAACCCTGAGAAAAGATATAGGCTACTTATTAATGCGAAAAAAGTTTGCAACCGGTTGAAAAGGAAAATGAAAAGTTATATAGAAATATTGTCACTTTTGTAGCTAGAAGCTTGAAATTTATTTTTCAATCTGTTGTTTATATGTAAATAAATATAGACCATCGAAGTTTGTAAAAAAATTACTTTGAAAGGGTAGTATATGACAGTTTGTATGTCATTTTTTAAACTAGAACGATGAAACTTATTGGTTTTTATTTTTATTTGTAAATAAAATAGCCTATATAATTAATAATGCTATCTAAGGTCTCTATTCCACGCGGACGAAGTCGCAGGTACAGTCAGTACTATACTAATTAGTATACAGTCGTACCTTTTATAGGTAAAACGTCTTAAATATCAATTGACAGTCTATCATCTCAAAGTGAGACGATTCTGAAGATCGTCTTTGTACTTCGATGGACTCGAGATATATTTGAGCTCCTCTGTATGCGCTTTACAGATATAGAAAATTGGGATTGAGGTAGGGTATATTGTACATGTGACTTTGTGTAGGTATATTATTATTAGTATAAATTGACAAACAAATTTTGTTTTATATTATATCAAGGATTTAAGTAACCTTGAGCTATTCGACACGTCCAAACACCCGTCTGTACAAAATAAACAATGTATCTACAGCTGCACAGAAAATTGGGATCGTGAGTACATTATATCCGAAATTGTAAAAGCTTATTATTTATCTGTTATGAGTAGGGAATGCGTTTATGAAGAAAATTCATAGAAGGAATGGTGTCAGTTTAATCGGAATAGATAATGAGCTATTATTAACTTTACATGATATTGTCAGGACAATGCTATAAAGAAAACAATATGTTTACGATCACCGTCTTATATTTTAAAAATCATTAACAATATATTTTCCTACACAAGTTCGTTCACAATGTTCGTTAACAAATTAATGCCGTTAAAAGAAACAAAGTAACACATTCAAAACTTTAATTCTAGATTTCAATTTGACAAGTTATTATAAAATATGATAGGTAATTAAATTAGAATAATAATATAGTAAATATTAATAACCGTTGATGACAATATAGTTTTTTATAAATCTTTATGACACTTGGCCATCCGTATAAATGCGTACGACCTTTTACTTAAATTAATACCGTTACATAAAAAAAATATTAAAATACATATATTTAAAAAAAACTGACAATATATAAAGATCAAAGCTTCAAAGTTACTTTATATATAACTAAATAACAAGAACTAGGTATTCTAATTGGTAATTTATTAACTTTCTAACATTATATCAATAATATTACAGACATTATTTCAATACTAACAGGACATTATTATATGATCATTACAGGATATAATATTAAATATAATCGATGGGACCAGAGTTGTCATTCCATAGAACCATTAAGACCAAGGCTGACCTATAATATACATATATTATATATTTCATTTGTATGTACATATACTAAATTTCTTCGGACCAGGGTTGTTCAGTAAATAAATAAGGATCAGGAATCTGCTTTGCTAGGAATATGTTATCTAAATAACATATTAATTAAATTTTAAATTACTTAATCTTTTTTACTTTATACTACAGATGTGTATTTGAATATTGTTGTATACAGTTAAATTATATCGTAATATAAATAAATATAATCAGCATATATACTATTGAATT